GGGAGCTGGGGGCCCCCAGACCAGGGCCCGTGTCTGCTTGTGGGGTGAAATGAGCAGTTTTGGGGGCAGTCGGACTGGGCAGCCGCTGGGGACACTGCAGGCATGTTCTCCCACCGCCAGTCCTGGCCTTTGGCCCTCCCACCACACCCACCCAGCAGCACCCTTGGCCTCCGGGTGGGCTCAGGGCAGTCCCAGAGCCGGGCTTGGCCCTGGTGCCACCAACTGGTATTTGGGATGTGGTGGTGATGAGCTGCAGTGGGGGTGGCAGAGGGGGAAATTCAGATTTTTCCAACCTTGACAATGATGCCAAGAGCCAGGGCAAACCCTCCTGGGGACGAGGGAGGCAGAGCAGAGCCTCGTACCTGCCACGCTCGTCCTGTGCAACCTCCCAGGCGTTGGGCCTCCTCCGCAGGGGACGGCAGGGCACTCGCCCCGGGTGGGGTATCGGCGCGGTGCTGCCGTCCCAGTCTGCACTGGGCTGGCTTGGGACTTCCTCGGCCCACCGAACGAAGCTGAGCACCTCAACAGCAGAGCGTGTGTGCGGTGCAAACCCTGCCCCGCAGTGTGTCTGCCACCGGGACGGGGGGGAAGAGCCAGGGAGGGTGGCGGAGGGGGAAAGGAAGGACACGGCTGCTGGAGGAGGAGAGATGAGAGCTGTGAAGTGGGGAGAGAGGGGTAGGAGCAGCGTGTGAAGCACCTAGAAATGCCTGGTGAAAAAATGCCAGGGTGCAAAGCATCCAAAAATGCCCAGAGCAGCCCGGGAGGGGGACGGAGAGGGGGGGGCCGTGCTGCCTGCGTGGGCAATGCCACAACGCTTCGCTCCCCCCCCTACCACCGGCATCCATCCCGCAGAGCGAAAGCTCCCTCACCCAGCCGGGCTGCGGGGTGATGGCCACGGGGTCTGTGTGCAGCTCAGCTTTCCCGGGGTGGGGACAGACACACAAACCCCCCTCCTTTCTCCCCGCTGCCCCGAGGACATGGGGATGCGACATGGGGTGCTGGTGACCTCCCGGCCCTGGCACATGTGCGGCGGCACACGGGGAGGAAGCGCTGGACATCCCTGGGCAGAGATAAGGTCGGCGTGTGCCGGCTGGGTGACCTCTCCCCGCGCCCTCCTCGCCGGGCCTGGCGTCGGGCAAGCTGGACCCCATCCCAGCACACAACTTCAGGAGTTGTATATTTTTTTTTTCCCCTTTTCTTTCTTTTTTTTTTTTTTTTTCTTTTTTTTTTTTTTTTCTTTTCTTTCTCCCCCCCCGTTTTATTAGGCTGGCGGCTCGCTGCCCCCACCGTGGCCCCCGGTTTCCCTTCCTAGCATCCCGCGCAGTCCAGCACCACACCTAGCAGAGGAAGCGTGGCGGGGACGGCAGCCTCCGCTCCCCAGCACAAAGGCATTTTCCCTCCCTGCCCCCAGCCCGCGCCTCTGGCTGCCCGTTATTCCTCCCAGCCAGGTCCGACGCCGAGCTCCCACCCGCCTAAAAATAGAGGCGGCACCACCTGGACCATCCCAAGGGGTCTCAGGGATTTGGGGGCTCAAAGTGGGGGTGGTGGGGATGGCAAGAAGGTAAGAGTGTTGATGGCTGAGCCCGATGGTTATTCCTGCTGCTGATGGCTGCAGGTTGGGGCAGGAACCCCAGGCTGGACTAAGGGCTGTGCAACCAAATCCAAGGGATTTACCCCCAGAATTTACATCCAGGTTACAGAGGCAGCAGGTGGATGCTGCAGGGCCCTGGTGGCACAGCAGCAGCAAAGCTCTGAACAGTGATGGGAAAACTGCATTTTATTCTCATTTTGCAGAGGGTGCAAGGCACGAGGGGAGCCGTCAGTGGGGCAGGGGCGGGGGCAGGATCTGTCCCCTGGGTGCGGGCACCGAACCCTCCCGCAGTGGTCAGCGCCGGCTTCACTGGCTCACACGGACCAGCCTGGCTTCGAGATGTGTCCATGCCACTGATGGATTAATCACCATGCAATTACCAGTCTGGGGCTGGGGACGTGGTGCGGCCAATTAGATGAATGAGATATTTCATGGGAAGAGATTTCTTACGAATTACAGTTAATAATTATCTTTAGGCCACACTGCAGAGGTACCCGGAGCGGTGGGGCCAGGCGGGATGGATGTGACTGACACCCACAGCCCCTTCCTCATCCCGAAGGAGATGCCCTTTACCAGGGGTGGCCGAGGGGAGCGGGGACATTCCTTATGCAGTGTGGGGGGGCCCTGCAGCACTGCCCAGGCCGGTGGCTCCCCCAGCCCCCTGAGACATGCCCCCGCGCCGGCGGGTCCCGTGGGCTCCCCAGGGGCCGGGGCCGCTGCAGCCTTGCTGGAACAAAGGCTTCCCGAAGACAGGCGCTTCCTGGAGAGCAAAGGACTCGGGGCCGGGAGACTGAAGTCATCTGCTGGGAAACACTCCGTGTTTCACCGGAGCCTCCCTTTTTCCAGGGCCCAGCTCAGCGCCTGGTTTCCTTGGGGACAAACAGTTCAGTGGGTCAGGCAGAGCTGGAAAGCACCGAGCAAGCGGGCCGGGGGCTGGCAGGCGCCAGCAGATGAGGTGTGACCTCTGTGTTAGGAGCATCCCACAGCAGCCATGTGCCCATGCAAGGGTGATATGTCCCCCCTGTCCCCAGCCAGGGACCAGACTCTCTCCCACCCAAGCTGGGGTGGAGAATGGGTGGTTGCAGTCAGTCCCAGCTCTGGGGATGGCCAGCTCAGCTGTTTTCTGCTCATTTGCTCTTTTTCTTGGCTTCCAGCTCCACCTGCCCATGCAAAGGGCACTGGGGACAGTGGAAAGGTGCTCTGGGCCACAGTGGCTCTCTGACCTGGGAGCGTGCTGGCCCAGGTGCCTGTTGCCACCCTGTCCCACTGCCACCCACACGGGCAGGTCCCCGACGGCTGCGGGACTTTGCCAGGAGCACGGTGCGGCCCGCACTGGCCAAGCCCGGCCATCAGGCACTACATCTGAGGAAGGAGAGAAAGTTGTCTTTCTTTTTCAGCTCTTTTCAATAACCAGAGGTCAGCCTTGTCTATACAGGATTCTAACTGGAATGGCAACAGCAATACCCATTGTGTGAGCAGCGAAACCCACAGCTAACCCAAAAAAGCTGTTCGCTCCGCACAGGCACAGCCGGCGCAGCCTCCCGGGTGGTGGCCAGAGCCCTCGGTCCTCAGCGGGGCTGTTCTGCCTCCCCTTCCCCTGCCACAGCCTCTCCTTGCACCGCCCTGGCTCTCCCGTGATGGTCCCACCAGCCTGGGGTTCTGCACTTCAGCCACATCGCCCCGTGTTTGCTCCCCGACCCGCTCCCGGTGAAACCCCGGGGTGCAGCCCCCACGCCCCAAGCGTGAGCGGAGCTGCCGCAAATCCCACCCACGGCGCCTACAGCCCAGCTAAGGCCGGGGAAAGGCTTCGGCACGGCGCGGAGCACGAGGAGGGCTGAGCGTGCAGGAGCGCGCGGGGCACACACGCTGCCTGGAGTTGCTTCCCCAGCAGCTGATTGCAGCGGCAGTCGCTGCTTTAATACTCGATTCCCATCACAGAGAGAACCCAGGCTTTTAGGAAGGAAAGTCTTACACTTCTACCAACTATTTCAAGACTCCCATAAACACATTTTTGGTTCAGCATTAATGAATTACCTCAATGCAGAGCTACTCATGCCAAATACATGAATACAGAGTGTAGAAAAGCCGCCGAGAAGCAGATTTGGCTGCTATTCAGCTGCTCCGATCGGCACAATTTCTTTTCTCGATTATAGCAAGAAAATGTGCTCTGCCTGTGGCACCGCGTCCTCCCAGGAACAAGCAGCTGGCTGACAGTTGGGCTAAGCAGAGCCTGGGCACGCCGGGGTTATTCGCTGCTTCCATCACTTGAATTGGCAGAAAATGCTGCTCGCTGGTGTCTGTGCAGGAGATGCAGC